TGAACCCGTATAAACGGGTTCTGGGCCGGTTTAACCATCCCGAAGGAGACTCCGCCCTTCGGCGTTGCCTCCTTCGGGTTCCTCTCGCCCGTAGGAAGAGAGTTGAACCGAACAGTCGCTCAGGAGGTGAACGACTGACAATATTCAGTCACCCCCACGAGGGTGTCATGTGGCACAAGGCCTTTTAATGTGGGCATTCCCGAGCCATCAGGCTCGGCAAAAAATAGCCCATTTGAACCCGTATATATACGGGTTCAGGGCCGGATTTACCTCCCGAAGGAGACTCCGCCCTTCGGCGTAGCCTCCTTCGGGTTCCTCTCGCCCGTAGGAAGAGTTGAACCGTGCAGTCAGTTCAGAGGTGAACGACTGATAATATTCAGTCCCCCACGAGGGTGTCATGTGGCACAAGGCCTTTTTAACGTGGGCATTCCCAAGCCATTAGGCTCGGCCAAAAATAGCCCATTTGAACCCGTATAAACGGGTTCTGGGCCGTTTAACCTCCCGAAGGAGACTCCGCCCTTCGGCGTAGCCTCCTTCGGGTTCCTCTCGCCCGTAGGAAGAGAGTTGAACCGTGCAGTCAGTTCAGAGGTGAACGACTGATGATATTCAGTCACCCCCACGAGGGTGTCATGTGGCACAAGGCCTTTTTAACGTTTAATTCCCGAGCCATTAGGCTCGGCCAAAAAATCGCCCATTTGAACCCGTATAAACGGGTTCTGGGCCGGTTTACCTACCCCGAAGGAGACTCCGCCCTTCGGCGTAGCCTCCTTTGGGTTCCTCTCGCCCTTAGGAAGAGAGTTGAACCGTGCAGTCAGTTCAGAGGTGAACGACTGATAATATTCAGTCACCCCCCACGAGGGTGTCATGCGGCACAAGGCCTTTTTAACGTGGGCATTCCCGAGCCATTAGGCCCGGTCAAAAAATAGCCCATTTGAACCCGTATAAACGGGTTCTGGGCCGAGTTTACCCCCGAAGGAGACTCCGCCTTCGGCGTAGCCTCCTTCGGGTTCCTCCCGCCCGTAGGAAGAGAGTTGAACCGAGCAGTCGGTTCAGACTTGAACTACTGATTCCCTTGCCTACTCCTGAGGCGCAGTATTTATTAACTATGGAATAGTCCATTATTATTATTATGGGTAAGATCCCATAACAACGTGATAGATTCATGAAGGTACGAGCTATCACGATCAGATAAATATACAGGGTACCCCTGCAAAAGAAATTGTCATCATTTTGTCTGATAAGTCTGATAAAATAACTAATTCTCGTTTAAATGATCTCAAATTTTAACAAAATGTGTAAAAACTAAAATAACTGTACGGACTTATCTCAATGAGAATTTTCCAGGAAGCTGGATTGGGCGTACCAGTGGTAATGACGGTGTGTTGCTGGAAGGGGCACTACATTCACCTTACTTGACACCTTGTGTTTTTTTCTATGGGGCTATGTGAAAGTACAAATCGAAATTCCCACTCTTCCTGCAAATCTAGAGGAACTTAAGTAGATAATCACTGAGGCGTTGAATAATTTTACGCAAAACATGCTACAGCATATCTGTCTATATTTCTTCATCTTTGTCGACATATTTATTACAACGTTTCGGCCTTTCAGTATCTATCTATATTTCTGAGATGAGGTATTATGTACACTATTTAGATTATTCGGACTATTGTCCTCATCTTTGTCGCCATATTTATTACAACGTTTAGGCCTTTCAGTATCTGTCTATATTTCTGAGATGAGGTATTATGTACACTATTTACATTATTCAGACTATTGTCCTCATCTTTGTCGCCATTTTTATTACAACTTTTCGGCCGTTGTACACTCTGGTTTTCTTCAAGTGGTTGGAATTTCGATCTAAACCCTTTTTTTGCTCCCTGCTGTAGACTGTTCTAGTTACATGTGCCATGTTTAATGGGGATCACTTGTCAGTTATCTTCAGTTGATTTCCTTCTCCAAGTTCCACTGCCTTAACCAGGTATTGAACTCATACTCTTTGGGTACTGTCACTGTCTTTCTGTCCTCAAAGACACATAGCACAGTGGATAAAGGCGTTAGTTAGATTCAGTGACAGGGAAAAAAGGGGAAACCGCTGTTACAAAAGCTAGAATGACCAATCAAAATACAAGTATAGGAGAATTCAAAAAACTTGACAACGAAGTAAGGTTATAATAGCTATTATGAGCTTTAAAATTGGGGTTATACTAAAATAGAATTTATTCTAACCAATAAGTATTAAATTATATGAAAAATTTGATATTATAATTAAAAAATTACCAATTTTAAAATCTAAATTTAATTAGATAATGTTATAAAATCACTACAAAAATATCCATTTTGTTTCAACACCTCCGGTGTCTTATCAAGTGATGATGTTGAATGTAAAATAAATGTTTTTAAAATTTTCAAATTAATTAACGATCCTTCGCAAGGGGAAACGCTGTTACATAAGCTAGAATGACCAATCAAAACACAAGTATAGGAGAATTCAAAAAACTTGACAACGAAGTAAGGTTTATAATAGCTATTAAGAGCTTTAAAATTGGGGTTATACTAAAATAGAATTTATTCTAACTAATAAGTATTAAATTATATGATAAAATTTGATATTAAAATTCAAAGTAAAAAATTACCAATTTTAAAATCTATATATATATATATATGTATATATATATATGTGCGTGTGTGTATTTATGTGTACATGCGTTGATGGGAGTCTCCTTATATATGTGTATATGTAAATGTGTCGATACGGGTATTTATACATGATTATGTATTTGTATATGTGGATGTATATTCCTATGTCCTAGTATATCATCGATACTAACTAAAATCTACTTTTGTTTGATAGGGATTTTTTAATTGCTTATAGACTTAATCAACAACTCTGTGTGGTTACTGCTCCCCCTCAAAAAATGTCTCGAAAATTCAGGAATGCACCTCGTATGTAGAAGTGTTTCAGAATATTTAACACTTTACACCGAAAGAGGGAAATTTAATCTAGAGTAAACAAGAACTGTCGAAGATCGTGTTTATTTTAATAAACCTATTTTAAGCGTGCATATGGCTCGAATCATCATAAGCAGAAAAAGAAGTTTACGTCCCACATTTTCTTTTTCGGGTGTCATTTTCAAGATCCTTCTACTACATTTGTTTAGTGGGGTTTCACCCCATGCAAAAGAGAAAAGTTATTGAAAAAAAAGGCAGAATGGAGCTACAGAGTGTGGAAGAATTAGAAACGGAAACATTACTAAAGAAGAGAAAAGTTTAATCAGGAGGACAGCAGATAGCGATTGAAATTTGTTATGATGTTGATTTGGGGTTAGTAGAGACAAACACCAAATAACACGTAACAATAAAAAGGGTTTTAATAGGTTGGTAAAAAGGTACAGAAATCGCCTGAGTAGTCAATAACTTCTCGGTCTATCTGTCTTAGTATTTATCGATCCACCCACGAGGATTGAATGTGGCACAAGGCCGGTTTAATGTGGGTATCTCCGAGCCCGTAGGCTCGGCCAAAAATATAGCCTTTGAACCCGCCTAGACGGGTTCAGGCCCTGTCTACCTCCCCGGACGAAACCTTGCCCTTCGGCAAAGCTTCGTCCGGGTTCCTCTCTGCTAACGAAGAGAGTTCGACAGACGTCGCTTACAGTCAAAGACTGTATCACGACTCAGCTAGACTCGGAGGTCTTACCCATTCGGGCTATCTGTCTTCTCCCATGTCAACTGACATGCCACTTTTTAAAGTCTTTGTTCACAGACGCAGACAAGTTCATCTTCAAGAGGGGTGGTAGGTTTCCGACACAACAAAATTGCATTTACATTTCTGCAGATTAAAGTTGTCTGTAAAGCATCGAACCGGAAGTGATTTCCACAAGCGGGAAGTGTGGGCGACGAAATTGTTAGCGTATAATTTAAGGTTACATCTAGACTGTCAAACTGTCAATTGATAAGATCTCAAAGCTGGTCTAGTACTGCGGTTAAATTTTTTAAAAGAATTCTAGATACGTCTTGCTTTTTGCATTCATTAATACTTGTCGCAGAGGAAGTCGTATTCGCTTTTATGTCACAGTTCCCATATATGGTCACGAGCATCAATAACGACCTCGATGTTAACTATCATCGTTATTGTGCGTAAAATCATCATGAAAATCAAAATTGTTTTTCGCAAATTCTCGTTAATAATTCTTTTGGTATTCACACAAGGAAAGAAGTCAAACCAATTAAATTTCGAGTTCGCTTAACTTGGTGCAGAAAATAAACCGCGTTTTTATTCAATTAGTGGCCGGCGCTGCGAAAAAGGAAAACAAAAAAAAAAAAAAAAAAAAGGAGTGGGAGGTACTGGTGACTCGGTCGGATGGGGTTAAGAAAGAGTTGCAAGGAGAAAAAGAGCAAGGCTTGGTCCCTAAATAGAGATTATTCTTGTGGTTGGTTTCTGTCTTACGGTTGGTGAAAATAAGTCTTCTATCCTAGGTAAAAAAAATAAAGATTAAGGGTCCTGTTTTTTTTTTTTTGTGTTTGTGTGTGTGGTGGGGGGCGTATTTTATTTTTTTATTCTATTTTATTTTTTGATAGTTAAACTCACACTCTTTGGGTCCTGTGACTGTCTTTCTGTCCTCAAGGACACATGGCACAGTGGATAAAGGCGTTAGTTAGATCTAGTGACTGTGTTTTTTGTGTGTTTGATGTGTGTGTGTGGGGGTTCTTTTATTTTTTGATAGTTAAACTCACACTCTTTGGGTCCTGTCACTGTCTTTCTGTTCTCAAGGACACATGGTACAGTGGATAAAGGCGTTAGTTAGATCCAGTGACTGTGTTTTTTTGTTTTTTGTTTTGTTTTTTTTTTGTTTTTTTGTTGTTTTTTTTGTGTTTGTGTGTGGGGGGGTCATTTATTTTTTTTATTTTATTTTATTTTTTGATGGTTGAAAAAAATGGGTTCAGTGGATAAACACATAAGAAAATGAAAAAATTTTGATGCAAAAGAAAGGAAAATGAAATCATTAGAATAAGAAAGAAAAAAAGAAGAAGAAACAAGGAAATAAATTGTGGATGATGATGATGATGATGATGATGATAGGATCGATAAAGATAGTAGAGAAAGAAGGAGAGGGTCGATAAGATGAAGAGAGAGAAGTGGATAGACAGTAAAAGGAGAGCGTCAATAAGATGAAACGATCAACGCAAAGTAGACGAAGAGAGGAGAGGACAGAGGAGAGGGTCGACAAAGAAATTGAAAAGCTGCAACGAAGAAGGAGAGTATCGACAATGAAGATGAAGACAGCAAAGACAGCAAATTCAACATGACAAAGACAATGTACATAAGAAAAAGACTTATCCAAACAGAATAACTGATCTTATAAAACTTTCAGTTATTCTGTTTGGATAAGTCTTGTTCTTATGTACATCGTCTTTGTCACGTTGTATTGATAATGTTATAATTTATGAATATGTCCTGAAGATGGTTTATTAGACCGAAACGTCCGACGTTGACATATTAACATTAAAACAGCATAATTGCATATAAGGATTTTTGTTTGTTTTTTCCGTATATATTTTTCTTCATATATATATATATATATATATATACCAAAGTATATAATTGGTATATACGGAATGAATTCCAATAACCAACAATTACTATTCTTAAAAGAGTATCAATACAAAAGTAGAGCAGATATAATTATTTTTTATAAAAATTATAACATAAGTATGTTATAAAATCACTACAAAAATAGCCATTTGTTTCAACACACTCTGTGTCTTATCAAGTGATGATGTTGAAAAATAAAATAAATGGTTTAAAAGTTTCAGATTAATTAACGATCCTACACTGAAACATTGTTACATTGTTAATTTATACTAACTAATAATTATAAAATTATGATATAATTTTATAATTATTAGTTAGTATAAATTATTTTAATATTACACGCATTTAAAGATCTGAATAGCTATTATAGCATGATTTCGTTGTCAAGCTTTTGAATCTTTCTATACTTCGTTTTTGATTGGTTATTCTAGCTTTTGTAACAATGTTTCCCTAGTGTAGGATCGTTAATTAATCTGAAACTTTTTAAAACCATTTATTTTATTTTCAACATCATCACTTGATAAGACACAGAGTGTGTTGAAACAAATGGCTATTTTTGTAGTGATTTTATAACATACTTATGTTATAATTTTTATAAAAATAATTATATATATATATATATATATATATATATATAAATTAAAAATATGTTAATGTATACTATATTTCTTGGTAAAAGTGCTAAATATCAGGGACTGAGCGATTGTAAATATGAAAGTATGCGACAGCCTGTTTCATGCTTAAACGTAGTCTTCATGGCTAGACGATTGCTTTCAAGCATTAAAAAGACTCAACTGTCAGTATTATCTCATTGTCCACTTTTATATGAAAAATTCCTGGCGTAACCAAAAAGTCCTTTCTTTAAAAACAGATCATTGTTCATTTGTTCAGATTTGAGGAAGTTGGTAGGGAAAGGTTATTTTCAGTACTTCCTATATATATATATATTTCCTTATTTTTACTTCTTTTCTGCTCTACTCAGGAATTACTTTTTTGTTTATGCTTATTTACTCATGTTTATTCCCCCGTTAATGTTTTTTTAGCATCCCGGGCGTGATCCAGTTCACCTTCATAAATTCACTTCCGTTCTTCCAGTGTAAATCGGGTGATTTTACAGCACCCATTACGGATTGTTAAGTGGGTTTCAGCTCTAAGTATATTGGGACTTATTTCCTAGCAAACTCGACAGATCTGAAGATGTTGTTATGTCTTGCAAGACCAAAATCTGAAGTTAGTGTCAAAATTCCTGCCATGTTTAACTCGACGATCTTTTTTTCACACCTACAGGTGTTACTCAAATAATAGAGATATTACACTCTCACACCCCACCAGTTTGTAGCTGAAAGAAAACAAAAGATATATATATGTGTGTGTGTTTATGTGTGTGTGTGTATGTGTGTGTGTATGTGTGTGAATTTAAATATATATATATATACATACATATATACACACACTCACTCACACACACACACACACATATATATATATATATATATATATATACATATATATATATATATATATAACTGAACAATTATTTGGAACGTAATCAAGGGCCGATTGTGCTTTTTTTTTTGGTCTGAGGAATTTAAATTGCAAAAGCATTCGCAAGTAACGTCAATAGCAGACGATAAGTTATTTTCTTTGGAAAGGGACGCGCCATTTTGTTTATTGGATTTTTTTACTTCTAACTGCCGTTTCAAATATTTTTTTTTGGTTGGCATTTTTGTTTTATGTGTGTGTAAAACTTCATTATCACAAACTACGGCATTTTTTTTCGGTTACCATGCCATTTGTTTCTGTCATCTCTGTAGCCAAATCTTATCGAAAATATAAAAAAAAGAAGAAAAAAACTCATTTAGCGACTAGATTGTTACCCTGTAATTAACCTTCTAGATGATTCATCGTTGTTCAGTATTATAATGTTAATTGTGACGAGGGAACAAAAATATCCAAGGCAGAATATATTTGTTCATAACCCTGATTGTTTTTCGCTCGAAATTCAATGTAATGTTATTATTAGATACGGAAAAAAACTCATTTTTCAGAAGGTTTTGCGTCAGATATCGAGCTTAACTATTAAGGGTTATATATAGTTTACTTTAATTTTTAGATATTCTTTTAATCTTTTCACCTCAAGGAAGGAGATATAGCCAGAAAGACACAGGGATTACCGATAGTAAAACAAAATAAGAAAACGTTAGTGAGGAGAAAAGACAAAAAAAAAATAAAGAACAGATTTCAGGAAGACGCAAGATGGCGGTTGACGTTGCACTTAAATTTTCGAAGACCATAGCGGAAAAAATTAGAATTGAACTTACTGTAGCATCTATTTCAACAGAAAAAACTACAAAACCTAGTTGCCAAGCTAGTAGTAACCTTAAATTTATACGGTCGAGTTAACAAGGATTAAAGTCCATTAGAACAATTCTCATGATACTATTTATAGAAAAGTTATCGGAAGGATATGCCAAGTCAAGATACCAGGACAGGACAGATTACATTACAAACCCTTATTTGGATTTTGTTGATGATCTCGAGATATATCATAGGAACACCTGACCAAATATGACAGCAACATGCAATGCATGGACGAATGGTAGATTTATAAACGTGCAATTTTTCTGGCCAGAAGAATTATCTGGTACGATACAGTGATTTGATTTCAAAGTTCCTCTTTATCATCTAATTCTTGCACATTATAATTTACGGCATTGTAAATGATATTGTCCACTGTACATTTCATAAACGTTATGTTGGCATTAATATTAGAAGATGGCATCGTAAAACGGTTTAGAGGGAATTAGTTGATTAAAATGTTAACAGATTTTATTATTCTTTCTGTTTTTTTTATATATATCTTGGTCAGTAAACTCTCTGGGGTGGATGGACACTTGCTTACTGGACATTTGCGTCCCGGACAATTACGTACCAGACAATTGCATACCTGGACATTTGAGTCCCTAGATAAATGCGTACCTCTGACATTTTTTGAATATATCATTTATTTTAGAGTGTTGTGTAATTTTAAAATTTGCACACCAATACCTAATTAATCTAAACAAACAGAAAGGTAGTTACCATAAATAAGAAAAGAGAGAAAAATTTCTTTTTTAAAGCAAGAGTAAATTATGGTAATTACCTTTAAAAGCGGTGGTCAGGGCTGAAAGGGTTGAAGCAAGAGAAAATTATGGTAATTACCTTTAAAAGCGGAGGTCAGGGCTGAAATGGTTGAAGCAAGAGAAAGTTATGGTAATTACCTTTAAAAGCGGAGGTCAGGGCTGAAAGGGTTGAAGCAAGAGAAAATTATGGTAATTACCTTTAAAAGCGGTGGTCAGGGCTGAAAGGGTTGAAGCAAGAGAAAATTATGGTAATTACCTTTAAAAGCGGAGGTCAGGGCTGAAAGGGTTGAAGCAAGAGAAAATTATGGTAATTACCTTTAAAAATCAGGGCTGAAATGGAAGACAAGAGAAAAATTACCTTTGGTCAGGGCTGAAAATGAAGCAAGAAAAAATGGTAATTTTAAAAGCGGAGGTCAGGGCTGAAAGGGTTGAAGCAAGAGAAAATTATGGTAATTACCTTTAAAAGCGGAGGTCAGGGCTGAAATGGTTGAAGCAAGAGAAAATTATGGTAATTACCTTTAAAAGCGGAGGTCAGGGCTGAAAGGGTTGAAAAGAGAAAATTGTAATTACCTTTAAAAGCGGTGGTCAGAAAAGTTATGAAAATTATGGTAATTACCTTTAAAAGCGGAGGTCAGGGCTGAAAGGGGTTGAAGGTTGAACCTTTAAAGCGGAGGTCAGGGCTGAAAGAAGCAAAGAAAAGAAAATTAAAAGCGGATGGTAGGGAGGTCAGGGCTGAAATGGTTTGAAGCAAGAGAAAATTATGGTAATTACCTTTAAAAGCGGAGGTCAGGGCTGAAAGGGTTGAAGCAAGAAAATTATGGTAATTACCTTTAAAAGCGGTGGTCAGGGCTGAAAGAGTTGAAGCAAGAGAAAATTATGGTAATTACCTTTAAAAAAGGGCTGAAGGGAAGCAAGAGGGTAATTACCTTTAAAAGCGGAGGTCAGGGCTGAAAGGGTTGAAGCAAGAAAATTATGGTAATTACCTTTAAAAAGGTGGTCAGGGCTGAAATTTAAAAGCGGTGGTCCGGGCTGAAATGCTTTAAAGCGGTGGTCCGGGCTGAAATGGTTAAAGCAAGAGGAAATTAAACAAGCAGTTTCAGTTCACTCCAGTATTGCCTAAGACAAACATCTAATTGATTCTGAATTCTATTTGGAACTTATGGCTAAATTCCGTAAATCAAACACTGATGGAAAAATATCTGTGGACGAGAATAATTATAGCTACCACAATCGTAAAAACGCCGACGAAACTAAAATATACTGGCGATGTGTAGAGTGTCTTGCAATACTTACTAAACTGTCGTTGCAATTTAAAGAAAAATATTTCTTTTTATTTTAATTCTTTTTTTCAAATTTATGATTACTACCTACGTGTTTTTTTTTTTGTTTTGTTTTTTTTAAAAATTTATAGTAATTGCCTTTAAAATCTTTAAAAAAATATCAGAGGGACGCGATTATCCAGGGACGCAATTGTCTAGGGACGCAAAAAGTGTCTGGTACGCAGTTGTCCCGGAAGTAGCTGTCATTGAACCACTCTCTTGGTAAGAAATGTTCCTTCCGGAGATGATAATGTCTCTCTTTGCTTTCCTATGTTTTATTCGTTATCCATTTGCATAAATGAGTGAATTTTAGCCTCTATTTTTCTCTTATCCACAGTATACCCTGTGCGTATAAATTCTCCAAGCCTTCTTTTTCCTTTATGTCTAACAAATCTAACCCATCTGTTCCTTAGTGATTGCTATCAACTGTTCCATTGAGACTTTCGACACTTTATGAAACCCTCCTTGTTTCTCGCCTGTTTTGTTGATGGGTAGAACTGCGTTTCAAGGTTTTAATTCATTTGTGACGATGTTTTCAACCATTACTAGTTGTCACTATTTACATTATTCGGACTATTGCCCTCATCTTTGTCGCCATGTTTATCACAATGTTTCGGCCGTTGTACGCTCCGGCCTTCTTCAGGTGGTTGGAATGTCGAACTGAACCTTTGATTTCGCTCAATTGGGTAGACTGTTCTAATTCCACGTGCCATGCCTAATGAGGGGAATTTCGATACATGAGTGACGAGGTAGATTTTTCCCCGCGGTACGTCGCCATTGCTTTCTGCGGTAGACCAGTTGCCATCCAAGGCTTTATCTGTATTTAGATACATTGGATTTATTTTCAATTTTTCTAGTAAAGCTGTCCACCTGTATTGCATATGATCCATTATTGTACATAATAAGGTTACACTAAAATTTGTATGAGAAATGGGACGTAGTAGAGAGGTAGTCCCATATGGCAATTACAACAAAGATCAGGATAATCGTCTGCACGTAAAGTATATTAGTAATAATGACACCTCATTGACAGAATGAAATGAACAGACTGAGGTAGATAGATAGATAGATAGATAGATAGATAGATAGATAGATAATGAACAGACTGAGATAGATAGATAGATAATGAACAGACTGAAATAGATAGATAGATAGATAGATAGATAGATAGATAGATAGATAGATAGATAGATTAATGAACAGAATGAGATAGATAGATGGTAAAAAGGAACTCAGTTTAGTGGGGGTTTTTTTCTAGATATTATATTATATATTTTGTGTCATGGATAATTATTCAATTCTGTTACACGATTTGGGCAATTTTGCTGTTACACCCTGAATATGTTGACTACATTTGCCATAATGTCCGGTTTTTAAAACTCTCATCGGCCTCTGTTAATTTCTTTTGGTCAAAAACATCAACAGGTAGATATATAGATACATACCTAGAGAGAGAGAGAAAGAAAGAAAGAAAGACCGATATATAGATAGATACAAAGAGACTTATACTTGGAGAGAGAGAGAGAGAGAGAGAGAAACAGAGTGATATATACAGAGATATAAAGAGATGGATAGGGATAGATAAAGACAGTGAGTAGCTTATACATAGGTATTTATAAATAGACTGAAATAGATAGATAGATTCTGAATGAGATAGATAGATAGATAGAAGATAGATAGATTCAGAATGACATAGATAGATAGATAGATAGATAGATAGATAGATAGATAGATAGATAGATAGATATGAACAGGCTGAGATAGATAGATAGATAGATAGATAGATAGATAGATAGATAGATAGATAGATAGATAGATATGAACAGGCTGAGATAGATAGATAGATAGATAGATAGATAGATAGATAGATAGATAGATAGATGTCCGATTGTTCACAAGGGGAAAGGCTTGACAGAGAGGAAGTTGAACATGCTTTTAATGGACGGACAACAAGAAACGTGTTAAAATAAAAAGAGTTAAAAGAAAAGAATTTTGCGGTTTTGAAAGGCGGGGAGTTAGATGAAGGGACTCTTTGTTAGATTCTGTAAGTTCTTGGTTAGGTAGATAAATTGTAATAAATCATTCTTGTTCCATTGGCCATATATTGGGATCTGTCGTCTGGTTATTATGACAATTACAACAAAGATGAGGATCTCGATCTCCAGGTCTTGTATTTGGACAATATCTCGATAATCTTCCTGGTGGTGTTTCTCTGGTACTGCTATGTAAATAAACATACACTTCCTGAATATCTTGTCTTTTTATGATAATAGGTCTGCATATATATATATATATATATATATATATATATATATATATATATATATATATATATATATATATATATATATATATATATAAACAGATTATTATTATTATTACTTCTTCCGCACTTCTTTTTCAACCGGAGATCATTCAGGTGTTCTTAATCAAGTCGTACGACCTCAAACAGCATCTTTGGTAGTGAGTTCACAGAGCCAGGCAATGCAGACTTCTGAAGCAAATGGTTTCTAGACTCTATTATTATTACTCTATATTATTATTATTATTAATAATATTATTATTATTTGTGGTATTATCTTATGAGAAAGTATCTAATTAGTAAGCTCCCTCCGGGGTCTATGAATAAAGAGGGTACTGAAGGAGGGTTGTCGATGCTAGGCATATATTTGGGGCGTTTCATTCAGATGGAATGGGTTTCGCGGATGATATATGCAGATCCGGACAACGTAATCATTTGAAGCTCTGATAGATAGATAGATAGATAGATAGATAGATAGATAGATAGATAGATAGATAGATAGATAGATAGCAAAAATAAAAAATGAATATAGTATGGTAGATAGATATAAAGTAAGAAAGAAAGATACTGCGACTGCGATAGAAAGAAAGAAAAAGGAAAGAAAAATGTATATACTGCGTTAGATAGATAGATAGATAGATAGATAGATAGATAGCAAAAAGAAAAAATGTATATACTATGGTAAATAGATATAAAGTAAGAAAGAAAGATACTGCGACTGCGATAGAAAGAAAGAAAAAAGAAAAAAAGGAAAGAAAAATGAATATAGATGATAGATAGATAGATAGATAGATAGATAGATAAAAAGATAGATAGATAGATAGATAGAAAGAAAAAATGTATATAAAAATGTATATACTATGGTAAATAGATATAAAGTAAGAAAGAAAGATACTGCGACTGCGATAGAAAGAAAGAAAAAGGAAAGAAAAATGAATATACTGCGATAGATAGATAGATAGATAGATAGATAGATAGATAGCAAAAAGAAAAAATGTATATACTATGGTAAATAGATATAAAGTAAGAAAGAAAGATACTGCGACTGCGATAGAAAGAAAGAAAAAAAGAAAGAAAAATGAATATACTGCGTTAGATAGATAGATAGATAGATAGATAGATAGATAGATAGATAGATAGATGTTAAATAAGATGTCAGTGTGTCTTCTGCTTGGTGTGTTTATTTCAAATGTCAGTCAAATATTCTCATATTCTGTTGCTTTGTCTTGATTTATTTTTAAAGTGGCAGCCCTCTTTGCTCACTTGTTTTGAAAATTCGACCTCGAAAATAGCTTCTACTCCTAAATAAACTTGAATCTTAATATTTTTTTCGACGTTAATTAAATGTTGAACATTTGCAAAGAAGCGATTCAAAAAATTAAATAATAAAAAAAAAACAGTTTAATAAAATAGAAACACGAAATAAAATAAAATAAAATAAAAATCGCATCAAATTAAATAAAACATTACTTTTACGAGAATAAAAAGAAGCAAGAAATTCTAAATATCTTCCACGCTCCCTCTCTCGGAAGAAAAAAAAATCGTGGAAAAAAGAAGAATAATGAGAAAAATGAGAAAACTATAGATATATATTTTATATGAAGAATATTATAGACTGTGAAAAAATTGGGATTTTCTTTCTCTTTTCTTTTATTTCTCGTTAGTCACAGCGCGTGTTCACAATCCTCCCCTTCCCAGCCCACGTTTTCGCAATCCCTCTCCTTTCGATCATCACAAGCCAGTTTCTATTTAAGAACAAAATGGAATATATGCTTAATGTTACCCGTTATTCTTTCATTCGGGAAATTAATGGAACTCAGACGATATTATTAATAATCAGTTCCTTCACACCGACGTTTTTTTAGATTGCAGTCTTATTTGTTCAAGATTTTCATGCGAGGCAATCAGATACCTTTGTCTATTAGGTTGTCCCAAAAGTTCGTAAACACTTGCAAAAAATTGAAATTTTACTCGCCAAGTAATAACAAAAACAACAAAAAATTATTCCTCAAAATAAAGACCATCATTTTCCAAGACTTTCTGCCATCGATCTGCAAGCTTTCGGATCTGGTGAAAGTACCATTCAGCCGGCTTCGAATCAAAGAATTCTTGACACGCTTTCTCGACTTCATCAAACGAGTCGAATCGGCGGCCCTTCAGAAAGTGTTGCATTGAGCGGAAAAGGCCGTAATCTGATGGAGCATAAGTCAGGACTGTAGGCTGGATGTGGCAGAATCTCAACGCCGTCCAGCTCTTTAAACTTGTCTTTGGTCTTCCTGGCGGTGTGTGGTTTGGCATTGTCCTGCTGCATCAATTGCGCTTTCGGTTGATCAGAGTCGGGTACTTTTGCTTCAAGTTTTCGTAGACCCGCTCCAGTTGCTGACAGTAAAGTTCGGCACTGATGGCACGACCATTTGGAACCAACTCAAAATGCACGATTCCTTCAAAGTTCCACCAAACGCACAATATGACTTTCTTGCCGAATCGATCTTGTTTTGGAACCGACGGTGTCTCTTGCCCTTTCTGAACCCATCGCTTGTCTCGATTGTGCTGGATTGGGTGGCATAAAAATTCAATTTTTCGCAAGTGTTTACGAACTTTTGGGACAACCTAATATTAAGAGACCGTTCTTTATCAGTTTGGTTTTGAGATAGGCTTTGCCGTCGCCGTCTTTGTCGTTCTGTTTGCTGATCTTTTTCTTTCTATTTTGAGTCACTGTCATAGTAAACACAGAACATTTTTAACATGAAAAGTTATTGAGCAAAACACGATTTATTTAATAAGCAGTAGTAATCAATGAATCGTAGAACGAACAGATCATTGGTCTCCATTTTAGTTGTAAATTCTTTATCTCGGTTTCCTTGAATCTCAGTACATGGTTTCAAGAGTTTTGTTTCATTGCAACTCACTATTAAAGCTTTCTAATATTTACAATCATTTTGATGGCATGTGTATATTCAATAATAATAATAATAATAATATGCAAATTATATGAATAAATTATTGAAGCTTTGTCTTCACTCATTTTTCAAACACATAAAATGTTCAACATTAGTTCACAGAGCCAGGCAATGCAGACTTCATAAGCGATGGGGTAGTAGGCTTTATTCCAAATTTCTTAATGCAGGTCTTTTGGTTCGATGGTATAGACCTCGACGTTCTAATGATGATTGGGACAGTAATGGCCTAAACGTCTAACATTCTGACAACTTGAATCCGGTGGTCAGTGAAGTTTTTTTTTTTATTTCTAAAATCTTTGGCCTTGAAATTCTGGTCACCGGGAACAGCCACATCGAGGAAAATGCATTTTCTTGTTTCCTTCATCTTTTCTACAAAAACTGTGAGGCCTGGTTTTAGTGGCCTCAAGCTCTATTTGGATGTTGAAGTCCCACACCATAATCATTTTAGATAACCTTTTGGGGTTTGGGTAGCCTTTGTGCCATGCGTGTTCCACGCGTAAACGATCATGTATCTTTCGATACATGACTGACGGGGCAGATTTTTTTTTCCCGAAGTAGGTTGCCATTTCTTTCTGCGGTAGACCATTTGCCATCCAAGGCGATAGAACCCAGTCTGTCCTCCTATTTACCCATAGCTGGAAGGAGAAGCTTACCCAAAGGTCAGTCAGTTATTTGCCATGCGTGATACACGCTTAGGTGATACATGACTGACGAGGTGGATTTTTTTTTATCGTATTGGGTTGCCATTTATTACTACCGTAGACCATTTGCTTACCAAGTCTATAGAACTCGGTCTGTCCTGCTATTTACCCATAGCTGGTGGGTGAAGAAGAGGATTCATACCTTTTCCAAAGGTATTAGCAAGTAAGTGAATGTAAATGGGTTCGACTGGAATTCGAACTCAGCTCTCCAATTCCCCAATCCGAACCGCTATCCATTACTCCACCGTTTAAAAAAAAACTATTTAAGTAATACCAGGAGTAATCAATGAATCATAGATCTCATTGACCATCTAAAAACTCTAAAGGGAACGGAGTAATTAAACGGTTCATCGGTATCTCCACCCTTGTGCAAAATAATTGAAACAACCGCTTTAGTTTCCTTTCTTTCAGCATACGGTCAGTTTTAGAACCACTGGAGCGACAGGGTGTAATCGATTTCTATTTTTTCCTCAGATTAGGTCATTTGCAGTGGTGTGCAGTAATATGAATCTATTTTTTGGGTGTATAATGAAATTTGTTTGGCTTTGAAAAATATTGCGTCATTCGAGATTGCATCAGATTTTCATCACACCCAGACACTATTATCTCGACTGTCGATTAGTTGTCCTACGACTATTGTCTGTGATGGACGCTGCTCCAAGGAAGCGTACGAAAATTCTAACGCTGCAAGAACACACTGCCAATTCTTACCAGTGAGCAAATCAAAGTACTATAGACTGGCCCGGAAATTCTATTGATTTAAATTCAATCAGTAATCTGTGGTCAATCTGCAAGGAACGAGTTCGTGAAATGCACTTACGAAGTACTAACATGTGCACTGGATCATGTTTCACTGGAAAAAATGCGAAATAAATGTAAATAATAAACGAATTATTCGTTTTGTTTCTGCACGTGAAGAATGGTAACAATAATGACTCCTCATCCTAGAAATACTAAGAGAAACGAACAGACTAAGATCGAGGTAGATAGATATGAATAGATATGAATAGATTGAGATAGATAGATAGATAGATAGATAGATAGATAGATAGATAGATAGATAGATAGATAGATAGATATGAATAGATTGAGTAGAATAAGAAAAAAGACAAAAAAACAAAAACAAAACAAGATGTCCGATTGTTCACAAGGGGAAAGGCTTGACAGAGAGGAAGTTGAACATGCTTTTAATGGATGGACAACAACAAACGTGTTAAAAGAAAAAGATTTAAAAGAAAAGAATTTTGTGGTTTTGAAAGGGGGGAGGGAGTTAGATGAAGGGACTCTTTGTTAGATTCTGTAAGTTCTTGGTTAGGTATAAAAATTGTAATAAATCATTCGCGTTCCTTTGGCCATATATTGGGATCTGTCGTCTGGTTATTATGACAATTACAACAAAGATGAGGATAATCGTCTGCACGTAAAGAATATTAATAATAATGACTCCATATCCTAGAAATACAGAAAGAAATGAACAGACTGAGATAGATACATATGAATTGACTGATAGATAGATAGATAGATAGATAGATAGATAGATAGATAGATAGATAGATATGAACAGAGATAGATAGATAGATAGATAGATAGATAGATAGATAGATAGATAGATAGATAGATAGATAGATAGATGAGATGTATGTACAACGGCCGAAACGTTATAATAAATATGACAACAAAGATGAGGACAATAGTCTTAATAATGTAAATAAAATGCCGTGGGAAGGTTTGGTTAAGATAGCACCTCACTGCCAAAGCTATATGTAAAGGTGTTTCGTCTTGCCGAAAAAATAGTTCGGTGAAGTTAGACGTAAAACATGAAACAACAGTACGCCTACTTTTCGTCCACCAAATATATATGAGTATCTGTGTGTATATATATATATATATATATATATATATATATATATATATATATATATATATATATATATATATGTAAGCAAATATATGGATATAGATCCGACAGTATGAAGAAAAATATACAGAAAAAACAAACAAAAATCTTAATATGCAATTATGCTGTATTAATGTTAATATAAAGTCGACGTCGGACGTTTCGATCTATTTAAGACCATCTTCATGGATATTTTAATTTAAACATAATTACCATTAGAACATATAAAAATTTAACACAAAAGACGATGGACATAAGAGCACAACTAATCCAAACAGATAACTGAAATTTTTATATAATATCAGCGTTCCGTTTAAATATGATCACGTTGTCGTCACGTGGGCGATGTTGTGAAAACGTATTCGAAGATGATTTCCAAATATTAAGATATTAAAAAAGTCGATTGAAAGGGATTTCTTGAACTGTTTATATAAAATAGTTCAATCGACTTTTTTTAAAAGGAACTAGAGACAAATGACAGCGAACCCCCAAAAACACTCACGTTGTTTACGCAAAGAAGGCTTACGGGACACGATGTAAAGTGCCTTCACATTTTGTACCTACAAATATAATATATATATATATATATATATATATATATATATATATATATAATTGTTATTATTATGGAAGTCTAAAATGCTGATAAACCCTTTCTGTGCTCCTCATTTGTGTATATTTACTGACATTGGGTGAGGTTTTCTTGAAAAACAAAACCAAAGATGATGATATCTCCCGTAAAAATAATACTGCCCGTATTAAACCAGTATTTATTTTCACTAGAGTTCATACCTCCCCTTTGAGAATGCCTGCTTTTTCTCTACATAGCTAGAAGATTTGATAATGTCCAAACAGGTATGTAAACTTATTTTGATTCGTTAATTTCCGCAACGGTAATTTCTTTTCTATTTTTTTTTTCATATCTTCAACGAGGTTTTATTAGGCAACATTTGTCCGCCAATTTGACAAAATATGAAGGTAATCTTTCTTTCATTTTATTATTATTATTATTATTATTATTTTTCAGTTTTTTGGCTATGTGTTTCATCTTAAACAATATTCTGTTTTTCTTTAATCAAAGTTTTATATTGTTTCCTTCGTGATATTGTCTCCCTTTTTACTTCTTCCATATCGTACCTTTCGCAAATTTTCATTTTCGTTCTTTTACTATTCTGTTTTATTTCCATTTTGGGGGATTAGGCGTTCTGATTTGTGCATTTTTCATATATATATATATATATATATATATATATATATATATATATATATATATATATATATATATATATATATATATATATATATATATATATATATATATATATATATATATATATATATATATATATATATATATATATATATATATATATATATATATATATATATATATATATATATATATATATATATATATATATATATATATATATATATATATATATATATATATATATATATATATATATATATGGACTCTCTCCGTCGTTTTTATATTTCAAGCAACTCAGTTCCTAGATAACTACAGCTAGGCGCCTGCACATATGATTTTGATTATAGTGGTGAAGTCTTTGTGCAGAACCAACTGAACTTTTGGAATATATATATATATATATATATATATATATATATATATATATATATATAGTTTAATTTGTTGAAAAATTAAAACGTTTAAATTACTCTCAAACGTTAATGGCAAAATATATAAATCTGAGTTTTTCCAAATTAGTCGCAATATTCCCAGATTCATTAATTTCCTTAATTTTCCTTCCTTTTCTTTCCTTAAATCACTAATTCCACTTCTGATTTCTTATAACTTTACTTCTCTTTTTTTTCTCTCTATATCTTTTCCTGAGAAACGACCTATTAAATAGGTCAATGTCTGGTACTTACCCCCACTTCCTTACTATTAAGTATTATAATAAAAAATAAATTTAAAATCATTCCTATGTCTCCTTTCCCTCTCTAATTTCGACCATGTCTGTCACACTCTCTCTCCCCACTCTCTATATGCCCTTACATCAACTTAAATCTACCCCTTAAATGTGTATAAAAATTATGTGTAAATTTAAATTCATTTTTCCACCTTTGGAAGTATGGCATGAAGTGCCAGGAAAAATAAATTCCCTGAAGAAATAAATTATAACAAATGGACCCTTAAAGTTGTCTGTTTTCATTGAATATATATATATATATATATATATATATATATATATATATATATAATATTAATGATAATAATAATAATACTACTAAAAGGCTGAAACCAACATCAAGCCTACAAATTCAAAAAGAAATCGGATGAACTGAATCGTGATTACGATTCCAATGTAATAAATGAAAACCATGGAATATTAGTGTTTGAGCCTTTTATATTATATTCTTACTTCTCTCCTGGATATTGAGCTCTACCTGGATTCTATTCACTTGGGAATATATATATATATATATATATATATATATATATATATATATATATATATATATTCTTTGAAGTATTGTCCTCATCTTTCTCGCCATATTTATTAAAACGTTTCGGCCGTTGTACACTCCGGCCTTCTTCAGGTGGTTGGAATGTCGAACTGGTTGTTTTTTATTTCGCTCACTGGGGTAGATTGTTCTATTTCCACGTGCCATGTTTAATGGATGTCAGTTATTAGTTATCTCCTGTTAAGTTAATTCCCCTCTCTAAGTTTTTCACTGCCTTAACCGGCTATTGGACTGTACACTCTTTGACCAATATATATATATATATATATATATATATATATATATATATATATATATATATATATGTATAGGGTGGGCAAAATGTAGTTTTACATTTAAAAAAATAATTTATGATATTTATCTTTACTTGTAACAATCATATTTGTTCAAAACTGTTATTGTGCATTTGTTTAACAATTTACTTACATTTTTAAGCACTTTGTAATCTAAATGCTGAAAATGTCCCCCTTCAACATTGAAACATTCCTCGAAGCCCCCCAAAACGCCAGGACAGACAGCACGGCACAAATCCTTATCTGTATCAATTTCAATACTTTTGAGAGGACCTCTTTTAATTCGTCCACTATGTGGAGATTTCTCTCATAAACCTTTGTTCTTTACTACAAACCCTTCAAAAAAGAAATACGTTGGTGTTTGGTCAGGTGAATGAGGCGGCCATTCAATATTGCATCTTCTTCCGAACCAACGTTGTAGAAAGTTTTGGTTACTGCCAAAGCTATATGGTGAGGTACTCCATCTTGCTGGAAGAACAGTTCGGCGAAGTTATCTCTGGTTCTGAGCCATGGAAAAGTCGGAAGCAAATAGTGAAACAACAGTAAGCCTACTTTTGGCCCACCATGTACATATGACATTTTGGCTCACCATGTGCATGTAGAAAATGCATATGACATTTTGAAGTACAACTAATTTAATGAAAATAAATTTGCATTTAACAACTGTTATGGTCCGGATTCCTTGTACCACGGTGATAGTCCAAGGTAGAACCAATAAAGAAGAACTGGAACACAGATATGGAATAACACAGATATATTACAAACAGAAATATATAGAGAGAAGTAGAAGTGTTAGTATGAACAATCAGGTTTAGTAGAGAGAACAATGTAGTCTCGACCAGTATCACTATTCCAATGTCTTGCAGTAATTGTCTGAACGCGACTCTTTTTCGGACTGCCTCTGACTCGACTTCACTCCACTTGAAATACTGACTCTACTTGAACTCCTGACTCAACTAGATCTACTGTCGATATTCAGTCACACCCCCACCCACGAGGGTGTCATGTGGCACAAGGCCTTTTTAACGTGGGCATTCCGAGCCCGTGGGATCGGCCAAAAATATGCCCATTTGAACACGTATAAACGGTTTTACCTCCCCGAAAGAGACTCCGCCCTTCGGCGTAGCCTCCATTCGGTTTCCTCCCGTCCGTAGGAAGAGAGTTTAACCGAACAGTCGCTCAGAAAGTACTGGGTCGACTGACTCAACTTGATCTACTGTCTCTCTGCCTCCTCCTGAGGCGCAGTATTTATTAAGTATGGAATAGTCCATTATTATTATTATTATTATTATAGGTAAGATCCCACATCAAGAACTATGGAACCACTGCCTTAACCGGCGATTGAACTCACACTCTTTGGGTCCTGTCACTGGATTTAACCAACGCCTTTATCCACTGTGCCATGTGTCCTTGAGGTGAACTTGGAGAGAGGAATTAACAGGAGATAACTAATAACTGATATCCATTAAAGACATGGAACGTGGAACTAGAACAGTCTACCCCAGTGAGCGAAATAAAGGGTTCAATTCGACATTCCAGTGACCTGAAGAAGGCCGGAGCGTACAACGGCCGAAACGTTGTAATGAATATAACGACAAAGATGTAGACAATAGTCCGAAAAATGTAAATAGTCTATGTTGAGCTCGTAGTTGCATATAACCAAATCAAGTGAAACTTCTCATCCATTAGAAAGCATCTTCCAAGTTTTTACTCCACAGAATGTCTAGATCAGATAAAAGAATTAACGTTCTGTTTTTTTTTTCCTTCCAGAATCAGTGTACTGATGATGAGGCGAGCGGTTCCATCCCTTCAAAAAAAAAAAAAAACTGTATAAATATTTTGTTGACGTCAAATCATATATGACCACACCAATGGAGACTTCCTCTTCCCATCAATTAAAAAGAAAAAATCTGGAAATGTTTCAAATTTGGACTCTTATATTTCATTTACATCCTTTTACTCTT